TTTGGGAGGGTTACTTCAGACTGGCTCATCTGGAGCCTATCTTCTGGTTTAGTTTCCTCCAAAAAGAACACATTTGGGGCAGTCCAAGATTGCTCTTTGGTGGAAGCCAAGCCCGTTAAAGCATGGGCAACAGGGAAACGTTTCAGAAGCACAGTCCAAGCTGAAATGCCTAATGCAGATGCACCCATAGGTACCTGCTTCTGGAGGGACAGATGTGGACTCTCATTGCTGCTCTACTTGAGGTAGTGATACAGTGGCTGGACTCTTATAATTCAGCCAATATTTAACTCCTGGGCACTTACCAGGCAGGAAGGACAAGGCCATGACTAGGTTCGTTAGGTATTTTCCATGCCTTTCATCCTTGATTATGGTACTGATATTCTGGGGTTTTTTTCCTCCAGTTATTCCCAATGGTTTCACACAGTGGGAAAAACTTTTTCTTGACCCACTTGTAACTGCAGCTTAAGTCACAGACTCTATTTGATAAAGACTTAATTTCTTTAGGAATACTCATTTTTCCATTATGCCCACAGGGCTAACAACAAAATAGTCTTTTTTTGCCTTTTATATGGATTTCTGTAACTCACTGGAATTTTAAATGTTCTTTGTGCTCAGAAACAGCGCAGCTGCTTTTGATCGTGTCTGACGGACGAGGCCTTTTCTTGGAAGGCAAGGAGCGAGTAACAGCAGCAGTTCAGGCAGCACGGAATGCCAACATCTTTGTTATTTTTGTAGTGTTGGACAATCCTAATTCCCGGGTAAGTGAGTGAAGAAGGGAGAAGTATTGAAGTGCAGTGAATGAGAAACTGAGACAGACTTTTTTCTCGTCTTTTGTAGTGCTGTACATCTGTCTTATCTTTTGCAGAGGTCAGAGGTGTTTAGCCCAATTTCAGTTTTTCACAACGTCTGCCAGATCTTCTGTGATTTCTCCCTACTGTGATCCTCTTTTGTATTTTTACAGAAATTTGGCTTCCATGCCATGCAAAGCCTAAGAGCTCCTGTCTCAAATGTAATGGTAGATTTTGGCCAGCACCAGAGGAGCTGGCAGGCTGACAAATTCAGAGCTTGAGAAATGCTTTCTTCCATCTCAATTTTGATTGCACTTGATCATTTCTGCCAGCAGTCTCCATCTTACGTGGCAGCTGGAGCCAATATGAGATTAAACATCAGACAGAAAGGAGTATGTGAGAGTTATTTAGTGCCTGAGTTGGGAAAGCTGGGTACTGTATTTGGTAGCTGGTGTTCTGGTTCCTTAGTTGAGAAGCTGAAATATCAGAAAGTATCTTTTCAGGGAGAGTCTGTAGTGCAATAGGTGAGCAAACTTAAGCCTTACTTTGAATGATGTGGTGCAGGCTCTAACTTTGTAGTTCACATTTTCTTCCTATATCTTTATTTTTCTATACAAAACTCATTCTCTTTCTGACAAACTATTATAAGGTTCTGATGAAACCAAACTATACTGTCAAGCAAAGATTCTGGGCAGTGAAATGTGTTTTTAATAAGCTTTATTAATTTTTTGAGCTGCTACACTGAGCAACCAGGAAGTTACTTTACAAAAAGCACAGCTGGAGTTTAGTCTCAGTTTTGTCTTTGTAGTATTTGTTGAAATAAAACCCAATTTGCTAAAGAATCCTGTTGTATTAGATCGCTGCACAAATGCAAGTTGAACTTTTAGCCCTAAAGAGCTTACAGATGATGGGCTGTCGGGAAGGCATCAAATGTATAAGACTGAAGTGATAGCAGTAAACTCAAATCATAAAATACTAAAGAAAGAGTGGATTTATTTGTGGAGCTTGGTACTGCAGAAGCTTGAGGGTAGTGTCTTCTAGCCTATAATTTGCTGATTTAGAGCACTCCAAGGAGTGTATTTAGATAGCACTTAGTGTCTGAAAGGGCAAAAGCTTCTAACTGCTTTGTGTTCAGCTTTTGATTTAATTTACCACTGAACACTTAAGGCTTTTAATCTTAAAGCTCTTTTTTTAACTTAACAGAAGAGGAATTACAAGTATTTAAAAAGTAGGATAAATGACAATCAAAGGCTGGTAAAAGATGCACGTAGTTTAGTAGTCACATCAGTTCTTTTTTCCAGGATTCCATTTTGGACATTAAAGTACCTATATTCAAAGGACCTGGCGAGTTGCCCGAAATCCGATCTTACATGGAAGAATTCCCGTTCCCGTTCTACCTGATCCTCAGAGATGTCAACGCACTTCCCGAAACCCTCAGCGATGCCCTCAGACAGTGGTTTGAGCTGGTGACCGCCTCAGACACTTTATAGACTTTGCAGACCAAGTCCACCCCTGATTGCTGCTAAACCGCTGAGGGACATGAAAGGCATTTCATCCGAGAGCCTCTTGGGTCTCAAACCAGGCTCAACACAGGAGCTGCCCTCTGGCAGACTGCATAAGAACAGAGTGGTTTAGGTGCGTTCTCCCACGTTTGTCAGAGAAGTATGCAATGGTGAGACTGTCGTCGTCTTTCATTGCCTATTCCCACAAATAACATAAAACTTCCTTTGACTTCTCTTGTAATAACTTATTACTTTAAAAAAATGTATTTGTACTGTTCACGGAGGTAAAATTATTCCTTCTACTGTTTATTGCAATAAGAAAAATCAGTCTTGCTTCTGGGAAGGCATTTCTGTGTTAGAAGAACTTCAGGTGTCTTGCAAAAAAGCATTCTTTAGCTTCACCCATGTGGCTGGTGCCCCCTTGGGAAGAAGCGGGGGGAGCAGATGGTTTTAAACAACCAAAAATTTAAAAGTACTTGAATACTTGAAACTGTTCGGCAGTCAAACACATCCTATTTGATTATTGCTGATTTTTGTCTGACCGTCTGAACAGGGAGTTTTCTGAGTAATGCCATATGATCATCCCTCTGGTATCAGTTTTCACTGTGACGTTTGCCCCTCTGTCCAAGGCAGACATTGAGGACGTTTCATTAATCTGATGTCTTTAGAGCATGGACATGATTTTTCATTGCAAAAGCTATGCATCTTATATTGTCTGTACTAATAAAAAGAGGTACCACTGTTTGTAAGGATGATGTCTGGTTTTTTAGTTGTTCAAAGCTTGAATAAATTAACCAGATTTGCCACATGGAAATGCACATGGAAATTCTCCAGCAGTGCACAAATACGAATTTTCATATGAAAATGTATTGAGGTTTCTGTAACGTCAACACCTATCCTCCTTTTATGAGGCTATGCCAGCACAGTTTTGATTAGGGGTCTAAGTCTTTTGACTTCTCTCAGTGAAAATCTGAAGTGAAATGCCTCTACTCTAAACTGTCTTTCAAGATTTTCTTTGTGTACAAAAATTAAAGGTGTCTCATTTTGAGCGTGGTGCAGGAGCTGATCAGAAAATGACTGTAAATGTGAGTGTATTCCCAAAGATCTGATCGTTCTCTTTGGCTTATAGATAGAAAACCCTTACTTGAAGCATTACTCAAGTAAGCAATTACTCTATCCCATTAGTATTTAAATGTTGGTGCTGTAAAATATCCTCCCAGAGTTCTTCAGATCTCTCACGCACGTATACAAACATCTATATGCTTTGGGAAATTTAACTGTGGACGTAGATGGGTTTAGTTGGTTAGGAAATTCTCCTAATGTAGTTGCATGTCACACTTGCACAGAGTATTTGTAGTAGGATACTTGGGAGAAAATACTTTTTCAAACTGTTCTTAAGAGTGCAAGGATATACCGCCAGCATAAATGATAGTTTGTTGCAGGGATGTAACTGCAGCCCATAGACACAATTTTATTAGCAGTACTTACTGCACAATCATTTAAAACAAACCCAGCTTTTTCTCTATAATTAACAAAAGGCAGTAAAAAGGAAGCAAGTACAAGGAAGCACTGAGGGAGTAACACAAAGGGAAACCATTGGTTAACTTGTTTTTTCTCTACAGGCTGCCTCTATGGCTGTGTTTGTGTTTGGGTTTGACATTTGTTGGTGCCTGTGCTAAAGAAATTATCAGTGCCTTGCACTGTTGGCAACAATTACATGTCCAGACAGAGCTGCAACTGTTCAAAGATGAGAAAGGCAGCTCAGCATTTTCTAGTTGCTCAGATGACTTCTGCATCTTACTGGTTTAATTTGATGCTACAGTTTAATACATGTTTTATAGCTACACTGGTCTTGAAAGCACAGGTTTTCCACTAACCATTCAGTGAACTGCAACTGTGTTATTACTTAGGTGTATGGTTTGTTGCAGTTTTGAAAGAAAGAAAACAGCAGAGGACCATGAATGCACACCCTCACTCGCTGGTTACTCTGGTACAATTCCTGGGGTCTCTGCCTGAAGCACCCCCGGCTCCTCACAACCTCAATGCACCGACTGGAGGCCTCAGTTCTGCAGGGGTGTGAGCACCGGTCCTGGGGTCTGGTTCTGGGTTTAGCTCCCTGGCTGCTCTGGGCCGTGAGCACGCCGGTTGTGTCGCTTTGCTAGCAGCAGGCAGGCGAGGCGGCCAATTCGCGGGCCGTGACGAGCCTCCCTGGGCTGTGGATTAGGGGTATCTTCCCCCGACCAGCTCAGCCG